GATCTTCCAGACCCAGGAATCGAACTGGGTCTCCTGCATTGCAGGTGGATTCTTTACCAACTGAGCTATCAGGGAAGCCCTATTTGCTAATTAAGGGACTGATTTATCAACTCCCCCCAGTCTAGATTGCCTCCTGCAACTTTAACTCAATCCCTGGCTCCAAAGTGGGCAAGGATTCTGAAAATAAATATTCTACCTCTTTGGAACCATTCCAACTTTGTGACCTCTCCTTCTAAGTTCTCTGACCCTCCCCCCAATTCAGAGCCGGGGAGTCCCTTACAGAAGGGTGGAACATTCATCCAGTGACTCAGGGGAGATTTTCAGTTTCTGTTCATTATATGGGGGTGAGAAAAGAAAAGGTCATGGGGGCAGCCTGCACAATTGTGCCCTGGGGCCTGGCATCATGAGGTGGACTTGCCCAGTCTTTGCCCAACCAACCTGCCCTTCCTGTCTTGTCCCACCTGCTAACCTGTGATGACTGCCAAAGTGACAGTGGCACTGAGCTGCCGTCCCTCCAGGTGGACGCGGCAGGTGTAGGTCCCGGCCTGGGCCTGACCCACAGCCTCTAGTCGAAGGGTAAAGTTGCCCTGGTCTCCAGCCACCAGGAGGTCGGGGCCTCCTCCGGGCGGGGTCCACGTGGCTGTGAGAGAAGACTGGATCCCCACACCCAGAGGCAGGCGGCAGGGCAGCTCCACCTTGGAACCGGCTCCAGCGTACACTGTCAGAGGGACTCGGGGCTCCAGGTCTGCGGAGAAAAGGGAACCCCGAGTTAAAGCTGAGGAGTACAGACGGGCTGGAGCACTAGGTCTGCGGAGGAGGTGGGCAGAAACACGAAGGAAGTGATCCAGTTTGAAGGGTGCTAAAAAGCAGAACAAGGTGAATGAACAAAGGATGCCAAGAATGCCCAAATGCGGACCGGCAAGCAGGAGACCAAAGGCTGGCAAAGGAGGCTGGATGGCTGAGGGGAAAGCTCAAAGGAGAGAAGCCGTAGAAAGGCCGCAAAGGGAAAAAGAAAGGGGTGGGACAGTGAGGCCCAGAGTAATCATAGGTGTCATCCGCTGCCGGAGACTTGATCTGGGGGCTCAGAAGTCAGCAGAAGGTGTCAGGGGGCAGGAAGGGGTTGTGGTCAAGTGTGAAGGCAGACTGGAGGAGTTACCCAGAACAGCCAGGTTGTACGTGATGGAGACATTGAAGCCATCTCTGTAGGTGAGACTGCAGCCCCAGGTCCCAGAGTCCAAGGAGCTGACGTGGGGCAGGAAGAGGAAGTTTCCAACTAAGTGGTGATGGGGGGACTCCTGAACAGGGACTCTGCCTGGGCCCCGGAACCAATGCACGGAGGCTGGGAGGTCAGGGCGGCTGAAGGAGCAGTTCAAGAGGACCCAACTGGAGGTCCACAGAGGCCCTGGGGGGCTGGCCGTCACTGGACAAAGACAAAGAAGGTTGATCATCCGGCTTGCCTGGCACAAGTCAGCTAAGCTGGAAGCTCCCGGAAACAGGAGCTGGTTGTAGATCTCCTTGTCTTCTCCCTCCCAACCCTCCTCCAGACCACCTACCCAGCCCAGAGCCTGGCCCCTGGAGGTGCTTCAAATGCAAGCCCAAGAGTCCTGTGCCTACTTCCCCCGCCCCCTGCCTCCAATTCACTTTGCTTGGCTACCCTCACCTTCTTCAGGCCTTGCTTGAGGATCTCCCTAAGCCCACTCTCTGAGTTACAGGTATCTAAATTGAGTCACTCCAGCGCCTCCGTCTCCCCTCCAAGGGGTGCCTCCCCTCCTCCACCCTGGCACTCCAGCTGTGGGTGGGGGAAGGAAAGCTCAAGGGGTGATACGATCTCTTCACTGAACCCTCCCCACCACACACGTGCTTGTCTGGGGGAACCTCCCACCCTGCAGGCAGGCTCGCCACCCCCTTCCGCTCCTGGGCTGGAAGCTCTCCCGCAGGGCTTAGGGCGCATCCTTAGAAGTACAAGCAGCCTCTGCCCTGCCCTTCCTGCCTCCTGGGCGCGGGATACCGGGCGCCCTCCTCCCAGCCTCGCTCCCCGCATCCCGCCCCCACCTACCCGCCGCCTGGCCCACGCGCAGACGGAGGCTGCAGGCGAGGGCGCGGTTCCCGAAGCGCACGGCGGCGTGGTACTCGCCGGCGTCGGCGCGTCGGGCCGGGCGCAGCCACAGCGAGAAGTCCCCGCGCTGGAGGCCCATTTCTTCCAGCCTCACGCGGGGCTGCAGGGGCGGCCTGCCAATGCGCAGGCCTCCGGGGGCCAGCCTCAGCACTGTGTAGCGGCGGGGCCCGGGACCCCGGGGGGTGGGCGCCGCGGAGCCACTGGACGGGAGAGAAAGATGGGACTGAGAAATCCGAGGGGAAGAAGCCCCGGGGAAGAGGCAGTCTAACCACACCTTGAGGATGATGGAGCCCACCCAAAGGGAAGATTTCTGAACTGCTAACCGTCCTGTCCCCTCGTTCAGATTGGGCCAGCACCATCCACTACCGGAGAAGCAACCGTGCCTGGGGATACAGGTGTGACGGTAGCAGTCTGCGGAGGATGGGGGAGGGGCAGGAATGGGGGGGGGCGCCTCTGTATTTACAGAGAGCTGGCTTGGGCTTTAGAGCCTAAATCTAGAAGCCATTACCTCTGGATCTGGGGGTCCCTGTCATTGCAGTTTGGGGTGCATACCTCTCTGGTACATGCTGCCAAGTGACTTGTCTTGTCCGCGGAAGGCTGAGATCCTGGAGGGGGATTGTGGGGCTGCAGGGGAGCTGGGCAGGAGCCCCCTCCTGGGCCCACACCACTGGGACCTCTGCCCCGGGCTCTGGAGCCTCCACTGGGGAGGAAAAGAGAGGCCAAGGGGAGGGGCCATGAGCTGAGAGACTTCAAAGCAGAGAAGGAGCCTCAGTGTTTTCCGAGGAAGAAACTGGGCAGAAGGGAGACCTTGGGTTTCTGCCCCTTCCCTGCCAAGGGGGAGATGAAGAGAGGCTTTGGGGGCTGAAAATGGCCCCGAGGAAGGCATAGGAGAATCCACCCAATCTAAGGACCTTGGCATCTGTGTGGTCACCGAGAGCTCCCTGCTGAACTTTTGCTATGGGTCTGGAGGTCAACCCTCCCAGAGTCGTCCCCATCTTACCTGCAGCTGCCCATAGGAGTTGCAGAAACAGCCAGATCTGGAACCAAGCCTCGCACAGCATCTCCCCCGAGGCCTGGACCATACAGCCCTCCAAAGGGAAGAGGTCGGAAAGTGGGGAAGGACTAAAGTTTGAAAGAGAGGTTCTGCAAGGAGGGAGTTAGAGGAAGAGAATCTAGAAAAAAAGAGGGATGGAGGCTTGGAGAGAGAGAGGGAGGAACCAGTGACCAGAAGCTGGAGTCTAGAGGAAAGTCAGCCAGATCAGGTAGCCTGAAGCAGGGGTCAGGGGAGGGTTGGGGGTCCCCAGGAAAGGGCAGGGTGCGGGCAGAGTGGAGGCACGGTGGCTGTCTTCAGCTGGAGGCTGTTCTAGTGCTCCCAGGGCCCTGGCCCCTGTCCTTCTGCCTTCCCTCCACCTTCCGCACTTCCCCTCCCCGTTGCCCCCCCCCCCAACACCCCAGGGCTCACGGTTTCGCTTCGCAGTGGAAAGTCTGAGGGGGCTGATTCCCAGCAGCGTTACCCTCCACCCTTGTGGTGGCGCTCCCCTTGTTTATTTCCTCAGTCCTGGGTGTCCCCACCGCCCCCTCCCCCTCCCCCACCCTTGACTGTTCTCTTTCCCCGGGGAACTTCTGCCTCGAAGTACCCACTTGCTCATTTTTGAATTGCTTCCCCAGGCCCCAGGTTCATACTTTCTTGGCAAGCCCTTCCCTTGGTGTTCATCCCTTAATGTCCCAGAACTTCATTACCCTGTCCACCTGCCTCCCCACCCATCAAATGACCCTTAGCTTTATTGAACTCTAAAAGATGTTAGGTCTGAAGGGCACCCTAAGCACAGGGGATAAAATAGCTACACTGTATTGTGTTTTCATTATGTGCTGGGCATTGCAGTGCAGGGCACTTTGTACAGTAACTCATGAAATCTAATCTTATCCCCTATTGTACAGATGCGTAAACTGAGGCAGGATCAGAGATTGAACAATTTGCCAAGGTCAGGGAGTGTGAACACAGAAGTTGTGTGTGTGTTGTCCTGATGCCAGGTGACTTATACGTGTCTTTCCATCTTTTTTGGTTATTTTTTGGCCATGCAGCATGCGGGATCTTAGTTCCCCGACAAGGGATCAAACCCTCACCCCCAGCAGTGGAAGCCTGTAGTCTTAACCACTGGACCGCCAATGAAATTCCCAGTCTTCTCATCTTTTGGGGTGAATGGTGTCAATGAGTCACACACTCCTGTGATTAGACCTCTGTGTAATCAGCAGGCTCTTCCAATCCAGAGTTTCTGAACTAAGAGGGTGATAAGGAAAAAATGCAGAAATCCTGCAGCTCAACCTCAGGAAAAACTGATGCAGAACTAGGAAAGGAAGCCTGAGAAGGCCAGAGGGGAACTCATGCTCCCTACCCCGCCCAGGCTAAGGAGCCAAAACTCAAGCAGGCCTGGGACCACAAGAGGCCCTGGAGTTCTTCTGGCTTGACCAGGAGGTAGATCACTTCCTCGGTGCCAGCCAATTCTATGTTCAAGGAGGCCAAGATTCAGGCCGCCTGCCCTCTCCCACTTCAGGGGCGGGTCTTCCTGTTTCTGAGGCTACTTCTGTGCCTGGCTCAGCACAGTAGGGCTTGGTAGCTTTCCACTGGGCTCAGCAGTGTCTAGCCTGGGGTGGCCTCGAAGCACAGGAGGTGTGTATGGCTGGGAGGAGCATCACCAGGAACTCAAAACCAGGACGGCAGTCAGCTCTCAGAGCCATAGCGCCCCCTGTCCACCCCGGAGGGCAGCAGTTATCTTCTCAAGGGGGTGGAAGGAAGGTACTGCTGCTTTTTCAGAGGGGAAGGGTCCAGACAGAATGTGCCCTGGGGCCACCCTCCTCTCTCTGTCCCGGGAAAGCAGGAGACAGGTTAAAAACAGAAGCGCGACCGTTTCTTTATTAAATTATACAAAAAAGGGGGAGGGGAGGGGGGCAGCTGTGGGGCTCGGCCCCAACCCTGGCCCCACCCCGTCCTGGCGCTGTCTGAGAAAGGGATCTGAGGGAGGAGACTCAGGAATCAGGCAGGGTAGGGATGGGCAGGACAGGATGATGTGAGGCTAGGATGCAGAGGTTAGGAAGGAGAGGCTATTGAAAGAGGGAGGGGCTGGCTGTGGGAAGGGCGGGAAGACAGGAGGGAGAGGGAGGGGGTGACTGGGGAGCAGCTGGGGAGCTCAGATGGGGCAGGTAAGGAGGTGGAAGATGGCAGTGAGGATGGAGGTGCGGCATGAGAAGGCTGGGGGGAGAAAGGGCGGCAACTCTGGCTCGGGGCCCAGAGCAGGGAGCCAGGTGAAGAGTGGTTGCACGCGGCGCTCCCCACCCCCACCCCCACCTCCGGGCGCCGAGGGGCCTCCCACCACCCCCAGCCCACTGGTAGGGGGCTCATGCCGACGCCCCATTTTCTGTCTTCTGCCGCTTGGGATCCGCTTCATCCTGTGGAGACGGAAAGAGCTGGGGTAGCTGTCAACCAGGAGAGGGACCGCCCCCTATGCTGCTCCAGCCCACCCCGCCCTGCACCCCTGTACCACCGGCATCTTGGTCCAAATCCAAGGGCTCCCGGCCCTGCTGCATCCCTGACAGCCCCTCAAGCCCACAACCCAGCCCAAACCTCCTCTTCAGCAGCTCTCTTCAGCGCGGGCCCTTCGTCCTCATCTTCTTCTTCTTCCTCATCTGAGGAGCCAGAAATGGGTCATTGGGGGAAGGGCTGGAAGCTCCAGCAGAGACCCCCTGTGGCGGCCCTCAGCCCTGCTTTTAGTTCTTCAAACCCACCCTGACGGTTCCCCGCCCCTCCCCACCTTCCTCGTCCCCTTCATCCTCCTCCTCGCCGTCCTCGGCAGTTTCTTCTTCCTCCTCCTCCGCGCCGTTCTCCTCCTCCTGCGGAGATCGGGAGAGGGAGGTGTCAGGCTAGCCCAGTGCCTCCACCCACCGTCCCCGCCAATGGCAAGGGGCCTGGGCGGGGCCGGGGGCGGGGCGACCTGGTGGGCGGGGTCAAGGAAAGGCGGGCCCCGGGGGAACGTGGCTGGGGGCCCAGTGGGCAGGTGACCCCTGCGCACCTCCACCACTTCTTTCTTTCGCTCTTTCCGGCCTGCCTTCTCCTCCACCTTCTCTTTCTTCTCCTTCAGGTCCTACAAGAGAGAAAGAGGTCACCTTCCTCTGACCACACATGATCTGCTGCCCTTAATTCCCTCCAGCTGCGCTTCTCCCTCTGCAGTGAGCTTGTGTGTTAAGTTGCTCAGTCCGGTCAGAGTCTTTGCGACCCCATGGACTGTTGCCCGTCAGGCTTCTCTGTCCATGGGATTCTCCAGGCAAGACTACAGGTGTTGGATTGCCATTCCCTTCTCCCAGGGAGCTTCCCGACTCGGGTTGAACCCAGGTCTCCCACATCGCAGTTAGATTATTTACCGTCCAGCCACCAGGGAAGCCCCAGTAAATTTAGAGGGGTAGAAAATGGAGAAGGTGGCCAGGGCGGCTCAGACGCAGCAGAGGTGCCAGGGTCGCCGCTGCCGCAAAGGGGCTGAGACCAGGCCGCTTCCCCAAGGGAGGAGGAAGAGTGATGAAGCCAGGGGAAAGGCAGTCAAGGTAATCGCACATCACCCCCACCAAGCTCTGCCCAGCCTCACCGGCTGAAGAGTTCAGCTCAGCAAAGCAAATCCCCCTCCATCTGCTCGCAGCCCTGACGCCCCACCCCCTCTTGAGGTCCCTCCTTCGCCTGCCCCCTCCCACTGCAGGCCCGGCTCTGCCTTTTGTCTACCTCTGGGGCCTTTTCCGGAGGACTCTCTCCTGGGCATCCCTTCCTGCTTCCCCCTCAGCTTCGAAAGCCTTTGTTTCTCTCCGTCTGTGTGCCCCCCTCATCTTCAGGCTCCTACCTGGCCCAACACTACAGGAACAGGGATAACCCCCTGGGGACAACTCCCGGTGCCCCCTCTCACCTCTGCCCACTCCTTGCCCAGGGGGCTTCCTCCTCCTGACCACCTGGAGTGTGCGCATGGGCACAGTGTGTACCCTGGTGTGGTGTGTGCACTGGTGTGTAGAAGGGCAGGAGTGACCATTTCTGGGGGATGTAGGGGGAGTAGAGTAAGGGAAACGTGAAAGGGGAAGTCTATGGGATGTGGTACAGGAAGAGACATAAGGTCTGTGTGGGTGGGATGGGAAAGCGGGTGAGAATAGGTACCTGCCCAGAGTCCCCTTCCTCCACACACTGATCCCTCTCTCCTCCTCAAGACCCCAGCAGGCACACCTTTGATGTCTTGTCTTGATATGATGTAGCTGAGAGAGGTGCTCACAAGAGTCCCGACTCTCTGGGGTCACCACACCGGCTCTTCCCATTGAGATTCCAGTCCTCTCTCCACCCCACCCCTTGGCAGGCACTGTGGTGCTCTGGATGATCAGATGGGATCTGGTATTGGTGTGCAACTCTGTATATCCGATTCCATGGGGATGGAAGTTTTCTGGGTGAGTAGATCACCCTGGGAGGGTGTGTCCTTTCTAGAGCAGGGTTGGGGGTAGGACAGAGGTTTGGTGTGGGGGTGGTTGGCCAGGCGGGACGCTCAATTCCCTTCTCCCTTTATGGGGCACGCAAAACACTAGCTCCTCTCACTCCAACTAGGTTGCTCCATGCCACTTTGCTGTCCTCATTTCTCTGCCAGATGGTCACTATGGCATTCCTCCTACCTGGTGGGCTTCCCCCTACAGCCTTGGCCTGGGGAGCCTTGGCTTCTCTCTGGGGGTCCCAGCACCAGATCTGCGTAGCTCTGGCCCAAGTTTCTCATGGGGCTGATGCAGTGGGGGAGAGTCAGTGAGTGCCAGGGAGGGAGGGAGTCTACCAGAGGCCAAAGTCCAAGGGGCCGGGCCCTCTCCTGCCCTGTCTGGTCCCGGCTTGTCCTTTTGGTCACTGTCCTTTTATGATCCCTTCTCCAGGGGGGGTATGTGACCTAGGTCTTGTGCTAAGCAGCTCTCTGGCCTCATTTACTCAGCACAGGCACACACACTGACACAGGCTGACACTGATTCACACGCACGGCACAGAGGGGCGCCCACGCGATCCAGAGACACATGGCCCGGTGTTTGGGCATTCTGGCACACACTCTCGAGGCAGCACAAGGGCACAGTGGAGCCACTCGGCACTCACAAGGCGGCAACAGGGCCCCACAACAGCTACGTCTCTGCAGGCACACATGTAACTGACACGGGCAGTCCCACACACTCGCTGGATTTCAGACACACAAAGACACCTACTCAGTGAAGTCACATGCCACCGGAGGGCCGCTTGGCACACCTTGTCAGCGCTCACACGGAGCCCCTCTCTCCCACTGCCTCCAATCCCATTGGTTCCCCCTTTCACTTCCCTGGCCTCCGGGAGACCTCTGCGACCTCCTCAGCAGCCACCCCCGACCAAGGTCGGGCTCCCAGCCCCCAAACCCTGGCCGAATTAATTTCCCCGAGCGACACTCAGCGGGTTCCCTAGGGAAATTAGAGGAAGCCTGGAAGAGAGGCAAGAGCGAAGGGATAGGGCCGGGGAAGGGAGCTGATGAGAGCAGGGGCGGCGCGATGCCATGCCATGCAGTGCTAAGCAGCCCCGGCTTTTTCGAAGGCTAGTGCCAGCCCTCTTCTGGTATTTAGGAATTCAAGATTCTTTAAGTGTGGGGGGAGATGCTGGAGGACGGTTATGGGGACTAGGAAAGCTGAAGGCCAATGGAGGAAGGAATTGATACAGATGGAAGGAAAAAATAGAGGCAGTAGCTGTCTGAGCAGAGGAGCGAGAGACGGTCGGGCCTCGAGGGGAGGGGCCTCGAGGAGCAGCCTCCCGGGAGAGCCCTGTTTACACCAGAGGCTCTCAAACCGCTTAGCAGAGGAAGGTGAGGTCAGACTGGAAGGGGAGACGGGGGACAGGGAACCGGAGAGGGACGCGGGGGAGGGGACAGGGTAGAAGAGACACACAGAGCTCCGACGGGCACCGGCCGGGGTGGAAGCGCGCGAGCCGGGGCCGGAGAGGGGTGGGGACCGCGCGGGGCCGGAGCGGCCGGGCCGGGAACCGGGAGCGCGGCACTCGGGAAGCTAGAGGGTTCCGGCCGCGGTCGCTCGGTCCTTGGCTCGCCGCCCCCGCACCCGCAGAGCTGCCGCCGACCAGCCGCGGCCGCCCCCGGGCCGGGAACCCGCTTATAAAGCGGCGCTGCCCGACGGGAGGGGCTTCCCAGGGGTGGGGCAGGCGGGAGCTGGGAGGAGAGGAGAGGGGAGGGGGATGAAAGCGGAGGTTGGAGAGGTGGGGATAGGAGGATGAAAGCGAGGGGAGGGAGCGCGCGCGAGGCGGGAGGGAGCACTAGACCAGGAGGGGGAAATGGAGAGACTGTGGTCGCGGAGAAGGGAGTGGGGCGCGGAGGTGGGAAGGGGTGGGGTTCCTGCGGGGAGGGACCTCCCCGAATCCCTACCTCCTGCTTGCGAACGTCGAGCCTGGCTTTTGGGGGCGGACTGGAGGGATGGCCTGGATCCTGCCGACCACCCCCCCCCCAAAAAAAACCCTGAGATTTTGCTAAGGGATGGGGTGGGGGGAAAGCAGATGGAAAGGCCAGGCAGGTATTTGAGAAACCAAAAGCTGAAAGAGGCGGAAGAAGGCGGGAGCTACTTCCACTTCTCGCTGGATTTCCCCTCTCCTACGGCATCTTCGTTCTCTGGGTGGCCTTGAGAGGGGGTGGGAGAGCAGAAAAGGCAGCCCACCCTCCGTCCTGCCCGAGGCTGACCTTTGTGACCCTGGCTGGGTTCCCCCATTCCTGCTCTTGTCTAGGATCTGCGGGAAGTCAGAGGCCTTCCAATCTCGTCGCCTTTTTCATCTTCGACCTTTCTTATTTGCCTATCCCACCTCAGTTTTCTCTGCCTGGTCCTTCCGTCTCTCCTCATCCCTTCTCATCCATTTCTGTCTCACATCTCTCATCTTCTGTCGCCTCTTCTCCACTCCTCAGTTGCCCTCTTCAACCTCCCGTCTCTGTTTGCCTTCCCTCTCTCTCCAGACAACACTGTTCTTGTCTTATCTGAGTGTGTCACTGGCCCTGCATTTTTAGCTCATCTTCCTCAATTCCTCTTCACGTCCTTATTTCCCACATTTTCCCTCTCTTGATGTCTCTTTCTTCTGCTACCATCTTCCCCAGCCTTTCTGGATTATATTAATAACTGCCTCCTCTGCAGGGGTTTCCAGCCCACAACTGTTCCACGCACCCTCAGCTCCTTGCCCTCAGTCTCAGCCTCTTTGGGTCATTTTGAGAAGCTTGGAGTTTCAGGAGGGGACAGCAGCTGGGATGTGTAGCAAAGGTCGTGGGGAAGACGGATGGAATGGAAGGCTAGGGTTTGGACCAAGATATCTTCGGTGTATGTGCACTCCTGCATTTGTCCCTCAGTCATCATTTTCATTTTTCTTAATAAAAAAAAGACATAACCGACACCTCGAGACCATTTAGACTTTGAGTCCATAAATACCCCCTCTTTTGGTCCTTTGGTGTCCATACCTCCCAATTTCTCTTCCTGACTCTTCTATCAGTTTCTCAGTCTCTGACTCCTCAAAAATCTTGGAGCCCCACCCAGGTTTTTCCTTGCCGAACTCTGTCCATCTTGCTCAGATCTTTCCATCTCTCGCTCTCTGTTTCTCTGACACACTCGCTGATGTCTTTAGCGATCTCTGACCCTCTCCATCTCTGTTCTCTCTGGCTTCATTTGCCTCCCTCTCCCCCCTCCTTCCCTTCCCCCCCCGCCCCAGTCTCCCAGTCTGGCTCCCTCCCCGTCAGTCTCTTTCCTCTCCCTCCCACCTCCTTTCCTCTTCCCCCCTTCTCCACCTCGCAGCCCCGCCTGCTGTCTCGGACACCCTGCTGGGCTCTTACCCTGTTGCCCTGGTAACCGCCCCCCACTCCGGTCACCTCCACTCCCCTCCCCCCCTCCAATCACCGCCACCAACAACCTCCATCCACCTTCCTCCTATTTTTCCTGAGAGCCAATAGAAACCCTGTTGCCAGGTGGAATGCTCATTTGAATCAGCCAATCCAGGGGCTTCACTGCTTGCCCTGCCTTATATGGGGATTTGAGGAGGGCCACTCCCCCCACTCCAGCCCCACAGGGGGCCAGCCCCTCCACTGTCCTTTCTCCCAGCCCCGGAAGGAGCCTGGGACCCTCCCTCTCACCCTTCTATAAGGGTCTGGCCTCCCATTTCTCTAACTGGGACCACCGGGGTTAGTGTGGACTGTGCGTTGGGCTGTGGGCTGGGCTTGAGGGCCGGGGGGTGGGATCGAGGTGTGATTAGGGAAGGGGAGGCGGAGGGAGCCGGGAATTTTGCCCGGGGAGGGGTGTCTGGGAGCGGAGGCAGCTGCAGTGGAAAATTCCAGGGAGATGGAGAGGCAGAGAATGGGAATCCTGCCCCAAGGCCCAAGGGAGAGCCTTGAGAATCTAAGAGTTTGGACACTAGGGTCCGCAGGGAACCAAAGGAAAAAGATCTGGAAAGCGGAAGGCCTGGATCTAAGTCCGTTCCTGCTTGGGAGAAGCACCCCTTAGCCCTCGCTCGCTGGTTGGACAGATCAGCCTCCCAAAGTCTTGGCTTCAGGAGAGGAGAGCTAGACAGGACAGTCAGGATGAATTTGGAATGAGTGGGGTTTTGAAAGCGCACCTCCTATTCCTTGGGGTTGATCTCTGGGCCTCCGGGGCCACGAGAGTTAACTGATGCCAGCCTGTCTGCTCCTTTCCAGAGCACCATTTCTGAGGCCTTGTGGAGCCTCGCCTGCTTCTAGAGGTCTTTTACTACACAGCTCAACAGAGAATTTTCCACTAGTTGAATGGGGGGAAGTTCTGCTTCTTACATATTTTCTGGAGGTGGAAAAAGGGAGGCCAAGTGAGAAAAGGGGAGGCCCGAGCCCCCTGGAAACTCTGACTTCGGACATCCTAGCAATTCCCTCACCACTATGAAGATGTTCAACTCCAACTATTTCCATCTCATTCTTAAGTGAATTCTTCCTCCTCTCCAACTTCCTGGTGTTTGTTGTTGTTGTTTTCCTAGCTTGCCTATTTATCTGTTAGTTTAAGTGCTAAGGAAGGCCTAGTTAGCTATCATTCAAGGGTGGGCGGATAGAAACCTAAAAGCTGGACCCCTCCACTCCTCACTATGCTCTTCATCTCACTCCACTCCCAATGACCTCATTTGCTATTCCTCATTTTTCCTTTGCTTAAAAACAAAAAACAAACAAACAAAAAAAACTATTTTTTTCAAAACCCAAGACAGTGGAGAATCAGAGTCAAAAGGAGACAGACTGCTAGAGATTTCAACCAGCCTAACTTTGGTCAAGTTTGCTTTGAATATGTTACCTGCAGGAATGTTTCTAAAGAAATCATCTTTCCTTTTGCTTCCTTTCTTTTCTGTGCTGTGCTGGATCTTTGTTGAGCTTCTCTGGGCTCAGTAGTTGCAGGATGTCAGATGTTAGTTCCCCCACTAGGGATTGAACCTGCATTGGAAGGCAGATTCTTAACTGCTGGACCACCAGGGAAGTCCCAAGAAATCATCTTCCTGACAACATGAAGCCATGTTTGTCAGGAACATGCCCCATCAAGTTGTCTCCCTCATTATATTCTCGCATCTGTGTGAACTACAACAGTGCTGAGTTTTCTAGGTGCTTTTGGCATCTAGAGCAAAGCTCGGGCTCTTGAATTTCAGCAAACTTTTATTGAGCTCCCTCTTGGTGATGGGGCTTCCCTAGTGCCTCAGTTGGTAAAAAGTTGGTAAAGTGCCTGCAGTGTGGGAGACCTGGGTTCGATCCCTGGGTTGGGAAGATCCCCTGGAGAAGGAAATGGCTACCTACTCCAGTATTCTGGTCTGGAAAATTCCTTGGACTGTGTAGTCCATGGGGTCACAAAGAGTGAGACATGATTGAGTGACTTTCACTTTTGCACTCGCTTGCTTCCTCTTGGTGAGGAGCCCCTGTGCTGTGAGGTGGAGACACAAAGCTGAATGGAAAAGAGATGGTCCCTCCCTGCCCTCCAGGAAGAGATGGGAGAGGCTATTCAAAGTACAAACCTGAAAAAGGACAGGTATCCAGCACTGTCTTGCACCAGACAGCACCCCGTCCCGTGTCCAGGGGTGCTCCTTTTCTGGGGTACCTCCCTGATCTCTCTGGATTCTAGACCCCTTGTTCCCAACTCCAAACTGCCTTCCTCACTACCCGCCCCTTACTGATGTCTCCTTCTCCTGAGAATGGTGTCTGGCACAAGGCTAGGCACCCAGGAGCAAGAGCTTAGTACATCCTTGACTTCCCAACCCTGACACCACATCTTCGATTCTGCCTCAGAGCGCTCTCAGCTTTCCTTCCTTGAGCAGCTGTGGAAGCACAGGGCATGCATCAGGGTATGGGCTGGCCTCTCTCTGACTTGGGGTCTTCTCAGCAACTACTGGTGTCCTGGTGGGCAGTCTGTCTTTTACGATATCAGCATCACAATCAAAATTTCTATGGCTTTCCTACTTCCTCTTGAACTTTCTTTCCATCAAAAACCGTTGGTTTGGGACTTCCCTGGCTCATCTCACATGCTAGTAAAGTAATGCTCAAAATTCTCCAAGCCAGGCTTCAGCAATACGTGAACCGTGAACTTCCAGATGTTCAAGTTGGTTTTAGAAAAGGCAGAGGAACCAGAGATCAAACTGCCAACATCTGCTGGATCATCAAAAAAGCAAGAGAGTTCCAGAAAAACATCTATTTCTGCTTTATTGACTACACCAAAGCCTTTGACTGTGTGGATCACAATAAACTGGAAANATTGATGCTTTTGAACTGTGGTGTTGGAGAAGACTCTTGAGAGTCCCTTGGACTTCAAGGAGATCCAACCAGTCCATCCTGAAGGAGATCAGTCCTGGGTGGTCACTGGAAGGACTGATGCTGAAGCTGAAACTCCAATACTTTGGCCACCTCGTGCAAAAAGTTGACTCATTGGAAAAGACCCTGATGCTGGGAGGGGTTGGGGGCAGGAGGAGAAGGGGATGACAGAGGATGAGATGGCTGAATGGCATCACCGACTCAATGGACATGAGTTTGGGTAAACTCCGGGAGTTGGTGATGGACAGGGAGGCCTGGCGTGCTGCGATTCATGGGGTCACAGAGTCGGACACGACTGAGCGACTGAACTGAACTGAACTGGTGATCCAGTGGTTATGAATCTGCCTGCCAATGCAGGGTATGTTTGTTCGATCCCTGGTTGGGAAGATTCCACATGCCTCAGGGCAGCTAAGCCCACTTGCCACAAATACTGAGCCCATGCACCTAAGAGCCCGTGATCTGCAACAAGAGAAGCCTGAGCACTGCAACTAAGAGTAGCCCCTGCTCACTGCAACTGGAAAAAGCCCTTGTGCAGCAACAGAGACCCAGCGCAGCCAAAAATGAATAAGGTTTTAAAAAAACTTTTAAAAAATCATCGGTTTATCATCATAGCTCTCCTCTAGATTCTTCAATTGACTTTTCTTATCCTCTGTGCCATCCTTCATGACCTCCTTCACTTTTACACTTAGAGTTCGATGTTGCCAATTCTCCGCTGCCCTCCTTTCAGTTTCTCCCCTCTATGTGTGCTTTTCTTTTTTTTCTTTCAGTTTTACTGAGATATAATTGACATCCAGCACTGTTTGTTTACAGTGTACAGCATA